CATGGGAGAATGAATGGATGGATACGATTTTTTCAGATGAAAAATCTTTTTGCACGGATGAATCTGGACGAATGACGTTGTGGAGAACAACGGGGACGAGGTATGATCATCAAAATGTACGTTTCCATAAAAAATGTGGACGCATTACCTTGGCTTTTTGGGGATGTATTTCCTCGCGTGGTCTTGGACCATTGGTACGTACCACGTCCCGCATGAACAGCGAAAAATACATCAACATATTAGCTAATGTGATGATTCCATATATTGCGGAAACTTTTAATGACATACCAATCGTCAACTTTGTTCAAGACAACTCTGGAGTGCATATAGCGAGGGTTGTCCGCGATTGGCTGGCTGCACAACCCAACATCAGGACGTTGGAGTGGCCAGCAAAATCGCCCGACCTGAATGTCATTGAAAATCTTTGGGGTATGATAGTCCAAGAATGGGATCCACTAACCACACGTTCACGTGAAATTCTCGAACAACATGTTTTGACCCAATAGGAACGTTTTCGTACCAGGCCGGAATTATTTCAAACTTTAATAAGATCCATGCCCCAAAGATTGACAACAACGGAGGTGTCACTCGTTATTAAGTGCACGTCCGAGAATGTATTATGATGTATAAATGTTATATGAATGCGATATGGACAATCCTCGGTGAATGAATGATGAGATTGAATGAACAGAATGAGTCTGGAATGAGTGTAGTGTGAAAGGAAGATGAATAAGGCAAAACCCATCGATAAAATTATAAATTTTCAAAATTTTTGTAAAAATGCACACAAATCTCCCGTCATTTTACTTCTCGTTCTTCTACCTCTCGTCAAACTCTTATAAAACTTCTCCAGAAAATGGTGCGTATTTATTGAATCTATTTATCTATCTATCTATCCATCTATCCATTCATCTATCTATCTATCTAACAAATCACAAAAATAAATCACAGTTGGAGAAACCTAAGTCCAGTAAAATGGATATAATGTTGAAGAGCGCAACGTTATCAAAACGAAAGACGAGCAAAACCGAGATTACGTTGTCCGGAGCCAAACGGTAGCGTTGAAATCGGAGATCCATTCTATGGCAGTACGAGTATGCAGTAAAACGTAAGCAGTAAGAAATTGACTAATCACGATATGAATACTCTTCTTAAAGTCGTCTTAAAATAAACACTTTTCAATCGCAGAATTGCGCTCGCAGAAATTGAAGACATCGTTCATAGTTGTCGCCGCGATGCTCCACGCGAACAGAAGTTTCAGCCGAAAGAGCTAAAACCGAAAGACCGATGTAAGGCTGCACCGCCGAAAAAACTTTGAATTATTAAATTATTTTCATTATCCCGCTTGTAAATTTGCTTCTTAGATTATACTACTACTTATAATTATACGTTAAAATAAATTAAAGGAAAATTTATACATGCAACGTCGTATATAATCTAATCTTTATCTTTATTAATAACACGCAATATATTTACGGTCACCGTGTACTATCACTTTCGTCTCTTGTTAGGACCGAATACCGCACATATATGTCAGCAGTAGCTCTCATATTTGACAGCTGGATGCGCAGCAATTTCACTCGATAAAAAGTGTGCAAACCGTTTTGCATATGAGCATACCTACAAAATGTATATAATTATTATTCTAATATATGATGTGTTAAGTCAGCGGCACACGGTGCTTGTTTTCGTGCTGGATTGCTTGCTGGATGAAAATATTGCGTTGTGATTGGTATATTTTCGAAGATGGATGGAAATGCACCAATCAGAATGCAATATTTTCATCCAGCAAGCAATCCAGCACGAAAACAAGCACCGTGTGCTGCTGGCTTAAGTCTTATGAATTGCGGTACTTTATAAATCCAGGGACTTTAGACTCAACTAAAAGCGGCCCATGATACCTCTCCTTCTTTTCTCTGCTTAAAGAAAGTAGAGTGAACAAGAACCGAGCACGCTTTGCCGTTACCGTCAGGACGGATGTAGTGTGCATACATTTTCTCAGGGGGTGCAACGGAATTTGACGGAAAAAGCGTTTCAGCGTAATCGGCCCGGTGGCCGGTTTCAGGTTTCTCTCTGATTGAAATGCATAAAAGATTAGAACCCCTGTTGTGATCAGTGTGGTTCAGGGATTACAAACTCCTCGTATTTTAATGATGACGGAAGTGATTAGTTCGCTTATTCTTTCGGTACGTAGGCCGAGGGCAGTACAGTTGGTTCCCTACTACCGCTCGTCGGATGCCATATTGGACACTTACTGTTTACCAGTTTTCTGGAGCAGTAGGAATTTTGTGCATTTTGTGCGATAGCAAGTGATTATTAATTTAGTGAGAGGTGTTTATTTTCAGGTTATTTGCAGGTTATTTACAGGTTATTTACAGGTTATTTTCAGGTTATTTGCAGGAAGAAGAGCCGAGTAAGGAGAGAGAGCCTGTGGAGATAAAATATTTCTATTTCTGTAAGTAAATATTTATATGTAAATATGTAAATCGGTTTAAATTATTTCACAACATTGTTCGTTGATCTTTCCTAAGGTCTCAGATAGCACAAATGTTTTAAACACATTTGACTTATATTAAAAGACATATTAAAAGCAAGACGTCTCTCTTTTATACGCTTTTAGACGTATCTTATTGTAGATCGATGTTAAGAGTGAGTGTATGAATGCTTATGTGCAGTGATGCACATATATGGTGCAGGTTGTTAGTGCATCAAATTTTTTTAACCACACCAGGTATATGGCAGAAAAGTACCTGACAGTCCGCAGTCTGCAAGTGGGACGGAAAAAATTTGATGCATAAAATTCATTGTAATTATTTTTCATTGAACTGTAAATAATTTCATTAAACTATTGGGTGAATGCAAAAGTTCGTGCGGAGTTTCAATAGATGGAGTTATAAGCGTCGTAAAGTGTTGTCATTAATACTTCCATCTACATATTATATAACGTTGGAAAGGTGACGTCTTCAGCTGTTATTAAAAAAAAATCATTTGTTTTCATATAAACTGCTTCGAGAAATATCACTTTAAAAATGAGTATCGATAAGGTGCATTTAGGGCATGTTATGCTTTACGAGTTTCGGAAGGGAATAAACGTTGCCGCAGCCGTAAAAAACATTCAGGATGTTTATCAGGATGAAGCACCAGCTAAACGAACTGTGGAAAAATGGTTTGCTAAATTTCGGCGCGGAGAATTTAACCTTGAAGACGAGCCACGCTCTGGTCGACCTTTTGACATTGATGACGATGTTTTGCGTACTTTAGTGCTCAATAATCCGCGAATTTCAACAGAAGAAGTTGCTACAGCACTAAACGTTGACCGATCAACCGGTCGGTTGATCAAACGGTTTTCGGCGTTTAAAAAAGATGGGATTCGATTTGAAGCTCGATATATGGGTGCCCCATTTGCTGACCGAGAAGAACAAAATCAAGCGAATTTCTGCAGCCGTTTCTTTACTCGGGCGGCTCAATAACGAGTCCTTTTTGGATCGACTAGTGACGGGCGATGAGAAATGGGTCCTCTATAACAATGTTCAGCGCAAACGGACATGGAAACAATCAGGTGAGCATGGTGACGCAATGCCAAAGGCCAGTTTGCACCCGATGAAGGTGATGCTCTCTGTTTGGTGGGATTGCAAGGGCATAATCTATTTCGAGCTTCTCCCCGCTGGCGAAACGATTGATTCGGACAAGTACTGTCGCCAATTAACCAATCTGAATCGAGAAATAAAAGAGAAACGTCCGATTTTGTCAAATCGCAAGGGAGTCGTCTTTCATCACGACAACGCCAGACCACACGTTTCGAAAAAGACGCTGCGCAAACTGAAGAGCCTGAAATGGGATGTCTTGACGCATCCACCGTATTCTCCTGATATCGCACCATCTGACTATCACTTGTTCCGGTCATTGCAAAATTATTTAAATGGAAAAAACTTTGACTCTTTGGAGGCCTTAAAAAACGGCGTCTCTTCGTTCTTCGAATCTAAACCGCGCAGTTTTTATGATCGAGGCATCCGTATGCTGCCAGAACGTTGGGAAAAGATTATAGAAAACGATGGAGAATATATCATTGATTGAATAAAGATTTTTGTTTGCCTAATCACTGTGTGACTTTTACTCACAAACTCCGCACAAACTTTTACACTCACCCAATACATATATATATATATATACCATTGTAACTAAAAAAATAGATATGTATAATATGTTTATAAAACGAAAATTGTATATTGCTTATTTCAATAAAATTTGCGAACCCTATTATACACACATACACACATCACAAAAAAAAATATATATATTGAGTTGAATAATAAGTAATTTCTTTGTTTTCAGGTACAATGGAGTAATTATATGTTTATGTCATTATAATTTCATGAAATAATGTATGCGATATGTTAAACTATTAGGTTCCTCACAAAGTGCTTGCGTTCATTAACATCATTGATTCATGTTGATTCTTTGTATAAAATTAAGTCTTAAAAATCACTGAAAAAACTGCAATGACTTTTTGAACAACCCAATATCATCTACCATCTCTCGCATGCATTGCTTCATGAAATTATAACAACATACAAGTATTGTTTAATTTTACCAAAAAAATACAAAATTACTTTCCAGATAGCACCAAATCTTCAGAGAATGTTCTTAGAACGTTCTTAGGATGTATGAATGTCCTTAGAACGTTCTTAAAACATCCTTTCAAGATTTGTGCTATATGAGTTATTACACGTTTAATATATATATATATATATATATATATATATATATATATATATAAGGCCTGTTCTTTTTCGCTGCACTGTTGCACTGATGCAATAAGTTAGAGTGAGAAATATATATTTGTTTCACTCTAACTTATTGCATCAGTGCAGCAGTGCAGCGAAAAAGAACAGGCCTTATATTTATATATCTGTATACTGGATTTCAATGTAGCGCGTATCCCCACTCTGTATCACGTGAACCATTTTAGTTCCACCAGTTCCGGGACGTATCATGGTGGCGCTCCAAAAACCCGTCGCTTGGTTTCTAAGAGAGGAGTTTGTACCCCCTGGTGTGGTTCGAAACACAGTTTATATATCGTGACTCTGACATGAAAGTTTGCTCGCCCTGATGACTATTTTTCTCTTAAAAGGACGTATTCTCTGCTTATCATACAAGAATAAAAGAGTAGAATAATCAGATCAAACATGAGAAATATTAATAATACCCAAAAAATCGTTTCTAAATTAAAAAATGCAATGACTTCGCAAGTGAATGAAAAAGAAGAAAACACTATGTAAAATAATTTATTTAAAATAAGTTATTTATATTTTACAGAATCATGTTCAAAATGTCAAGTAATAAAAATACATGAAATAACTATATACATATATGTGTTTTGTTGTGTTACACATATATGTATATGTGTAATATGTATTTACATATGATATGTGTCGAAATGCATGTAGAAATGTATATTACATTTCTAGGAGTTGGTGGCTTTTACTGGGAAGTGTAACTATATGTACATTAATCACAAGATTCTATAAAGTTACAGAACCTCAACATGTGTGGTAACTTGACATTACATCACTGATTTTATTTACGGTTTTTAAATTAGGATAGGATTTCAGAAATCTTTCGATTTTAGTTGGGATGAAACACATTTTGGAAAAATGGGCAATTGGTACATAAATAGGACGTTCTTTTTTGATGTGCATCCTCCTTTGGGAAAGGTATAGTTTCTATATAAATCTTATATTTAATAAAATAATTATCTTATAAAATCATATTAAAATATTCCAGATAATACGATGATATCTTAAAGCCACCTGAAATATATTTGAAAATTCCTAATGTCAAAATATTAGAAAGATATCTTTATGACATCACTTTTTATATAAATCTTATATTTAATAGAATAATTATCTTAAAAAATCATATTAAAATAGCCCAGATAACAATGGCTGCGTTCAGCAGAACAAAGTGATCAGTAAGCGCTTAGTGATTCTCGCTCCTGATTGGTAAATACTTCTGGGTCTATGAAAAATCTAAAAGAATGCTCCAATCACAGACAATAATCACTAAGCGCTCACTGATCATTTTGTTCTACTGAACGCAGCCAATGATATCTTAAAGTCACTTGAAATATATTTGAAAATTCCTAATGTCAAGATATTAGAAAGATATCTTTATGACATCTTTAGAACACTTTATTCTTTGGTTTTTAAGACTTTACTGAAACATTGTTTTGGAACAAAACTTAAAGATGTCCTCTTTCAAATTACTCTTAGACATTTATATATGCATAATATTTATGTAGATTTCTGAAATTAGTCATTAGAAGAAGAAATATATGTTTTATTTTATTTCTTTTTTAATGAGTTGTAGTTGATGAAAATTTATAATTATATCATGCAAGAACTAGTTGTTCTTGCATCTGTCTTGCTCAGATCAGTATTAATGATAATTGTCAGTATCTGATAATATACTGTTTGATATATATGTTTTAAAAAACCATATGCATAACTTATTGATCATAAGTTAAATAAAAAATTGATAAAGTCATATAAATAGATGTTCATATAAATAGATATTAATTTAATTATAAATTTATCTAAAATTTTGACAAACTTTCTGAACATGATATGTAAAATTGGAAACTTATTATGATATTGACATATTATAGCAATATATGTATCAATATTAAATTTGTAATATAGACAACACATATAGACAATTACATATATTACAGTCTTAAAAATGTCTTATAACAGATAATTTTGAGATATTTTACTATAATATTTGAAATATATCTATAAGATATTTTTTGGTAATCTCTTAATATCTCCTAGGCATGTATGTTATGTGAGATTATACGATAAAATACTTGCACTCTACATCTCTTTATTATGTCTTTTCATTTCTTTATTACATTTTATTATAATTAAATTACTTTTGTATTTGTGAATAATATAATAAAAACTAGAGAATATAAGTAATATTTAATAACTAATTTTTTGTAATTATAAAAAAGAAACATTTTTTTATAAAATAAGAGCTCGATAGATTTCTTAACTATACAGGGTGGAGCAATAACTATTAAGACCTTAAATATCTTCGAATTTATAAGGCCAAGAGGAAGATTTGTGTAACCAAAATTGCACAGTACGAAGGGGGCTACCATATAGCGATAATAATTTTTATCCAGCTGGAGGCACTTCGGAGATACCAAGGTCAACTTGCGTTTTTTAAATGAGAACCCTAATTTTTTATTGCACTGTCTTTTTCTACCAATTAATTTGAACAACTTTTGTCTAAAGCATTTTTTTATTTGCCTAATATTTTTTGAGATATTTGAGGAAAACTTGAAACTTTTTCAATATTTAACTTACTTTTTCAATATTTAACTTACGATATCTCGCTAACTATTTGTTAGAAGAAAAAGTGGTACTAGACTTTCTTGCTTTATTTAGTCTCAAGAATATATTGTTACAATAGCGCCCTGACTTTTGTTAACTTGCTGATTTTTGGAAATTTTAAAATCATCAAATTAATAAAAATCAGGGCACTATTGTAACAATATATTCTCGAGATTAAATAAAGCAAGAAAGTCTAATACCACTTTTTCTTCCGACAAATAGTAGACAAATAGTAGACAAGTAGTTAGCGAGATATCGTAAGTTAAATATTGAAAAAGTTATCAAGTTTTCCTCAAATATCTAAAAATATTAAGCAAATAAAAAATGTTTTAGACAAAAGTTGTTCAAATTAATTGGTAGAAATAGACAGTGTAATAAAAAATTAGGGTTTCCATTTAAAAAACACAAGTTGACCTTGGTATCTCCAAAGCGCTTCCACCTGGACAAAAACTATTATCACTATATTATAGCTCCCTTCGTACCGTGCAATTTTGGTTACATAAATCTTCCTCTGGGTCTTATAGATTCGAAGATATTTAAGGTCCTAATAGTTATTGCCCCAACCTGTATAAGCTAATTGTGAAACTTTCATTTTTTTATAGGACTAAATTCAAATCTTATTCTTTTGTTCATTTATTATTTTGTGAATTATTTTTCTTTTTTATGGGCTTTCTAAGCATGAACACTTTGCTAATAGGAAAATATATATCAATATGCTCTCTAGAAAACAGATGTATACAGTGGAAAATATAATAAATATATTAATATATCATTAGTATATTAAATATAAAGATTTATAAATAATATCCCATATGTTATTTTTATTTATCTGAAAAATTTGGTTTGTCACAAATAAAATTATTGTTCTAAACTTGTTTATTAAGCAGAATATTAATGATCTTTTGTTTTTTTAACACAACATAATTAATAACTCAATTTACTTAGTATGGATATAATCATAAATTTAATTTTAGATGCTTATTGCTTTATCTGGATATATGACTGGTTATGATGGCAAATTTGCTTTTGAAAAACCAGGAGATAAATTTGAAAGTGTTAATTATATTGGTATGAGAATTGTAAGTTAATTAAACTTTATCTAGATTAATAATAAAACTTATAAATAGATTACACAGAATTTATTTTTACTTGTTATATTAAAAATTTTTAATTTAACTGCAATTTTTTTTTATTTTAGTTTTGTACATCTTTAGGTGCAACTATTGTTCCTTTATCTTATCTTATCACATGGGATCTTACCAAGTCTACTTCTGCCTCTTTGCTTGCTGCCATTTTTATTTTATTTGGTAAATTATGATATCCTTAAATAAGGTCATTTAATTGATAAAAATCTTGATAAATTAATTCATTGTTCGTGTTGCAGATATAGGACTGTTGACATTAAACCAGTATATTCTTTTGGATCCGATATTGTTGTGTTTTATGATGTGTGCAACATGGGGAATGGCTCGTGTAGCGTCGCTCCGCAACCGGTCATTTACACGGCCTTGGTGGTTGTGGTTGTCATTTACTGGAGTTTCGCTCGCATGTACTATTAGTGTTAAATTTGTCGGACTTTTTGTTGTTCTACTCGTAGGTCTTTATACTGTGTATGAACTTTGGCAAGAATTGGGAGACTTATCTAATCCTATCGTAAGTAATCTAACATTGAATTCAATATTAAATTGGAAATTATGCACGCTTTTCCTTTTTATTCAGCAGATATAATAATAATAATTAATAATTAATAATTTTAATGCTGCGTGTGTACATATAGAATTATTCTAATAACCAGATAATTATTAATATATAATATCTCGATAATGATCTTGCCTTTGGCATATGTTGTCAAGGTAATAATTTTGAATAATCTTCAAAAGGTTATCATTAGCGCATATTGCTTATAAAAAACTAAAAAAATGTTTACGCAAACAGATAGTAAATATTCAATATTAAATTAAAATCCATATAAAGAAAAGAAGAAAAACCGTACGTCATAGCAGTTAGAATTGAACTCCGATCGCTAGCTCCCCAGTAAGCAAAATGCTAACAGAATGCGCGCAGATTGACGCCAATTTCGATCAGATCTCCACATCAAAACCATAGCCATCAGTGTCCTCATTGGGCTTGTGTTTTGTCGACAGGACCTGTGTGACAGGCCGTGCGAGCAGATTGTCGGCAGAAACCGCGCAGGTCCTGCTGCCAAACTATACGTAGAATCTGCGCGTAGAGTTTGTTCGGTTTCTGCCGCCAATCTGCCGTCAAATTACTGCAAGTCTTGCGCGGTTTTTGCTACAAATCTGCCGTCAAATATCTGACAACAGGATCTGGCGCATATTTGACCGCAGATTGGCGGCATAATTTAATATAACAGATTCTGCGTTAAATTTGTTGCCTATTTGCCATCAAACTATGATAGCAGGCTTTGTTCGAAATCTGCTCGCGCAGGTTTGGCTATCTGGGTCACTAGTCAGGCGACTAAGCTGTCTCACCACCGTAGCTTTTGATAAGCACCTGCTTGTACATTCTACTTCACGCATTGTGTCTAATTACATACTCTTCATTATTAAATAATTTTGAAACTATTGAGTGTCTGAGCAAAATATAGAACGGCAAAATATAGAATAAATATTTTTCGATTTTTGACCTACCTACAAAAATGCAATCAAATCGATGATTTATACTTCATGCAGCTTGTAAGAGAAGCAGTCATTATATTTTAACATTTTTTTTTGTTTTTGGTAAAAGTGGGGTTTAGGGGACCCACCTCCGATAGTTTTCATATTGATATATGTTATAGAACTCACTTTCCTAAATAACACTAAAAAGATTTTAGCCATCGCTTACTGTTTATTAGAAAGTTATTAACAAAAGAAATTGTATAAATATTGCATATATATACTCATGTGTATATTTTTACATAGTATATACAAAGAAATATAGTAAATAGTACACATATATGCGCGGGGGAGGGGCTCTGCCCCTCCCCCCGCACCTCTCCCCAAAAAACCATACCATACCAAACCATACCAAACCTAGGTTTGGTTAGGTTTGGTTAGGGTTAGGTTTTTTGGGGAGGGGGTGCGGGGGGAGGGGCGGAGTCCCTCCCCGCGCATATACGTATACTGTTTTATATACATACATCAATTTAATAGTAATTGAGAGTTAAAATTTACGTAACTCTTGGATTTACTTAAGCGACCAACTAGTTGAACGACGAAAGAGCAACTGAGAGTAATAATACAGATAATACGAAACATACCAAGTAAGAATATACACAATAGAAATAATCAAAACAAAACAAGTTTCATAGTGCGGTGATATATATTCATATATAGCGCGTGTATAGCACGTGCTCATTCCTTAAATATATACACGGTATCGGAAAATTACATTCTATTTATGAAATTTCTTTTGTTAATTATTTTTTAACAAACAATGAGCGACGGCTAAAACCTCTTGAATGTCACTCAGTAGAGTATCCTTGATAATATATATTGTTGCGCCCTTGCGCAAGAAAAATAACACGGAATTAACAAAACGAAAGAAGCTTTATTTTAATACGTCCGTTCGTTGTGACAAGACTAGGGCGACTCTCTCTCATCTCTTCTTCTTTCCTTTTTTATTTATTAAACAACCTCCTTGACAACAACAGCTGTCAAACAATCTCTACTCGATTCCTTTGCAGTCCACTTCCAGGAGCGTGGGGATAACATGTCTCCCAAAGACACGGGCGCAGCAATATCAATGACAAGCTCATTGGAGGTGGGTCCCCTAAACCCCACTTTTACCTTATTTTTTATTAAACATCAATTTACTAAGTTTTTATGAAAGTTAATAAAGTTTAATGTGGGCATTTTTTGTAGTTCGACAAATGTCTAAATGATAGTCGAGCTCTTATCAAATATTTTGTAGCATTTAAGGCTTAAGGTTATTAGACCAATTGCTTCATTATTTTAAGGTTACATTATTTTAAATCATCCAAATCTCAATCTTTTCTCCGGTAAACATAGACTTTGGTAAAGATTCAAGCGAAAAGTCCAATTAAGTTATATTTGATGATTTAGGTGCCAGGCAGTTGAGTCTCTCCCGATTTAATGCCCAGGAAAAATCTCATTAAAAAGTGTGGACTTTTTTGCTTGAGGCTGTTATTATTAAATCTATGTTTGCCAGAGGATTTACCAGAGAGAAAAGTTCGAGATTTAAGCAACTTAAAATAGTATATCATTGAAGTAGTTGATTTAAGAGGACATATACACCAAGAAGCCCAAAAAAAAGTAAATTTCGATAATTTTTTTCTGGGAAACCATTGAAGTTATAGGATTGGGGGTTTTTTTTATATGAAAATATACACCTTTAAGAATATTCATGACTTTTTATGGTCAGCAGTTATAAAAAATAATGGAGAGATACAAGCAAACGAAGAAGCAGTGTTCAAAAAATCCGTATCATCGATACTAGATGTAGCTTTCCTAAAACTCAACTAAAACAAAAAAGAGAAATAGAATATTAAAATAGATAGTATAATTTTCCGCGTATCGTAGCCGATTTTGAAAATATCGATTTTTGACTAAATGGCAGACGTTTGAATCTAATATAGTGATTTTCAAGGAAAAGTTAATTTGTTTTTCTGTTGTAAAAAAAAAGTTAAGTATCGTAAAAAAGTCCTACGATACGCGATAGAGAATTATGTATAGAGTATGTAGAAAAAAGTTGCAGGTAAATCGGTTCAGTGGTTTTCGAGTAATTTCTGGTACCAGTGTAACAAAAATCGTTTCGAGAAAAACGCGTTTGAATATTTAGTCATTGATAAAACATGAAATTTGTTAAACTTACATTGAATCATCGATACCAGGGCCATAATGCAGATTTTCTGCGATGGATGGTATAAGATCTTTAATATTTTGTTGGCGACGACGTATTCGTGCTTCTTTAGTAATTTCAAACGCGTGTGCCTTTGCTTGCGCGATGCGACGGCCGTCCTCCCGTGCAGCATATTGATGTACGTTCGGCCCGACATTTATGTTCATTGCATGCATTATTTATAATAATGAGGCTGCACTATTATTAAACATGTAAGTATCTGTATATGCAATAATTTCGACAAGAATGGCTCCGCTGTACATTGTTTTTGGAGGTACTTTCCAAATTAGATTATTCAAGCTCTCATCACTATTTTGACCTCTTTGAAGTAGGCAGGACCAAATCGGCAGAATCGAAACGCACCTATTAAACTTTTTAGTACTTATTTTGTGCTAATTTGTGCTACTAATAAAAATTTTGTACCTCGTGCCGTTTTAAAAAAAATCGTGGCGCTGCTATCTTCATATGAAGCCAGCAGGACCATAACAAAAAATAATTAAAAATTAAAAACAAGTACATAAATAGAAAGAGCATAATTTGTGCTAATTTGTGCCATCAGAAAGAAGTTCATATTTGCATTCAGTTTCAGAAAAACAACACTTATTAAATTAAAACCCAGAAATCAATTTGAAACGTCAATATCCGCTCTTATGAATAGACTCGAACCGCAACTCTTGCAACAGATACCGCTTATTTTGTGCTACTAAAATATGTAATTGGAGATTTTGTGTCCGCGGCATTTTTACAAAAAATCATCCAAGAACCAGCTTACACTCAAAAGTAAAGTGCCACTTGTGGTCAGCAGAATCCAGCCGCGACTTTTGCAAAAGATACCGCTTATTTTATGCTACTAAAATATGTAACTGTAGATTTTGTACCCGCGGCATTCCTACAAAAACCATTCAAGGACCATCTTACGCTCAAGAGTAAAGTGCCATTTGTTATCAGCAGAATCCAGCCGCGACTTTTGCAAAAGATATCGCTTATTTTGTGCTACTAAAATATGTAACTGCAGATTTTGTACCCGCGGCATTCCTACAAAAACCATTCAAGGACCATCTTGCGCTCAAGAGTAAAGTGTTATTTGTTATCAGCAGAATCCGGCCGCGACTTTTGCAAAAGATATCGCTTATTTTGTGCTACTAAAATATGTTATAAGGATTGACAAGGGAAAGACAATTATAGATATAAATCTGAATGACATTGCCCAACAATGCCCAACATAAATCCTTATAATATGCAAATATATAAACTGATCGGCATTGCTGCATACACAGGATACAAGACAAGATTAACACAAGTAGGGCATTACATATTAGCAAAACATATTAAATCAAATATAAAAATTATACCGGTATTATTAATATATGCGAAAGAAAAATAAATTTTTATTGCTAAAACTTATTGGACATAGTTAAAAGTTTTTTGCCTATTTTAAAAAAAATTAAGTCTTTATTTAAAAACCCCCACACAATTTAAATATCCTATTCACAACAAAACAACCACAATCTGTAATTACAAACTTAAATGTCACAAAATATCCGACATCTATTGCAAAAGTCGCGGCTGGATTCTGCTGATCACAAATGGCACTTTACTCTTGAGCGTGAGCTAGTTTTTGGATGCTTTTTGTAGGAATGCCGCGGGTACAAAATCTGCAATTACATATTTTAATAGCACAAAATAAGCGGTATTTTTTGCAAAAGTCGCGGCCGGATTCTGCTGATTACAAATGGCGCTTTACTCTTGAGCATAAGATGGTCCTTGAATGGTTTTTGTAGGAATGCCGC